GTGGTTATTTGGTGTCACACACTTGACAAAGTTACAAGATAAAACCAGACTGACTAATACTGAAGCATAAATAGTAAGGGTGGAGTGGAAATGTTAAGTAGACTCCTATATCTGCGAGCTCTGAGTCAAACAGCAGGGAAGTTCAGCTTTTCAATATATATATCTAAGAGAATCACCATGAAAGAGTTAAGGCTTCAGAAGTATCAACATTACCAGCTTTTGTGAGAATGCTGAGCTGGAGATTACTGCAATATGCTGGGACATGAGGGATGCAACAGAGAATCACAGAACAGTTGAAGTTGGAAGGGATGTCTTGAGATCATCTAGTTCAACACTGCTGCTCAAGCAGTGTCAGCTGCAGCAGGTTGCCCAGGACCATTCCATTCAGGTTCTGAGTATCTCCACAGGTGGAGAGTGTACAACCTCTCTGGGCAACCTGTTCCAGTGTCTGACCATCCTCAAAGTTAAAAAGTTGCTTTTCAGTGTTCAGATGAGATTTCTTTTTAATTTGTGTCCATTCCCTCATGTCCTATCACTGGGCATTACAAAGAAGTATGGCTCCCTTATCTTCATTCCTTCCTGTTACGTGTTCATACACATCAGTAGGATCCCCCCGAGCCTCCTCTTCTCCAGGCTGAACAGTCCTAGCTCTCCTGGCCTGTCCTTACATGAAAGATCACAGAATAATTTGGGTTGGAAGGGACCTTTTAAAGGTCACCCAGCCAAATCCCCCCTGACACAGGCAGGGACATTTTGAACTAGATCGGGTTACTCAGAGCCCCATCCAACCTGATCTTGAACATTTCCAGCGATGGGGCATCTACCAACTGTCTGGGCAACCTGCTCCAGTGTTTCACCACCCTCATCCTAAAGAATTTCTTCCTTACATATCGTCTGAATCTATCCCCTTTTATTTTAAAACCATTACCCCTTGTCCTATCACAACAGGCCCTACCAAAAAGTCTGTCCTCATCCTTCTTATCAGCCCCCTTTAAGTACTGAAAGGCTGCAATAACTTCTCCTCAGAGCCTTCTTTTCTCCAGGCTGAATAACCCCAACTCCCTCACAGGAGAGGTGTTCCAGTCCTCTGATCATTTTTGTGGTCCTCCTCTGGACCTGCTCCAACAGCACCTGCTGTGCCAAGGACTCCAGAGCTGGATGCAGCACCCCAGGTGTGGTCTCATCAACACATAGCACACAGGAAGAACCACCTCCCTTGACTTGCTGGCCACACTTCTTTTGATGCAGCCCAGAATACAGTTGGCTTTCTGGGCTGTGAGCACACATTGCTGGCTCACGTCCTGCTTCTCATCCATTGGTACTCCCAAGTCCTCCTCCGCAGGGCTGCTCTCACTCCCTTCGTCCCGCAACCTGTATGGATACCGGGGGTTGATCCAACCCACATGCATGAGCTTGCACTTGGCCTTGTTGAACTCCATAAGGTTCACACAGCCCCACTTCTTGAGCTTCTCCAGGTCCCTCTGGATGGCATCCCATCCCTCAGGCTTGTCAGCTGCATCACTCAGGTTGGTGTCTTCTGCAAACGTGCTGAGGGTGTATTCAATCCCACTGTCTATGTCACTGATGAAGATGTTAAACAGTACTGGTCCCAACACAGACCCCTGAGGCACGCCACTCCTCACTGACCTCTACCTGGACATTGAGCGCTTCACCACTACCCTCTGGATGCAACCAACCAATCAATTCCTCATCCACGGAACAGCTCACCCATCAAATCCATCTCTCTCCAATTAAGAGTGAAGGATCTTGTGGAGGACTGTGTCAACGGCCCTACAAAACCAGATGTGTCAGTTCAATGATCTTCGTGGCCCTGTGCTGGACTCGCTCCAGTGTGTCCTTATCTTTCTCGTACTGAGGACCCAGAACTGGACACAGTATTCTAGAGGTGGCATTACCAGTTCTGAGAAGAGGATCACCTCTCTCTACTTGCTGCCAACACTCTTCCCAGTACGTTGTTTACCTTCTTTGCCACAAGTTCATATCACTGGCTTGTGGCCAGTTTATTGTCCACCAGAAACCTCAGGTCTTTCTCTGCAGAGCTACTTTCCAGCCAACTGGTACCCAACATACACTGGTGCCTGAGATTACTCCTTCCCCATATGCAGCACTTTGCATTTCCCCTTGTTGAACTTATTAAAATTTCTCTCTGCCCAGTTCTCCAACCTGTCCAGGTCCCTCTGAATGGCAACACAACTATATGGTACATCAGTCACTCCTCCCAGTACCATCCCTCAACTAGCTGAGGGTGCATTCTGTTCCATTTTCCAGGACATTAATGAAGATATTGAATAGCACTGGACCCACAATTAATAGACTAACCACAACAAAAATCAGAGCTGCTACATCATCAAAATCAAGAAAACCTGGCAAGACTCCATTTTATGGTGTCAGGACTTCCATGCAGAGATTATGCTAATTAATTAATTTCTCTTGTATTTTCAAGAATAGATATACTAAACTAACATGCCCAGTGACTCACTGGTGGCTGTCAAGGTGTCTGTCCTGCCCTTTCTTCAAATCAATACCCAGAAGCTTGTGATGGCCATTGATTCTTCTCACAAAAGGTCTTCCTGCAGCACTCAGATCTTGACAGTGCCAACATCACCCAATACGCAAAAAGTAAATTCACTGCAGTGATTAATCCCAACCTTCTTACTCCAGGCTCCTAAAATATCCTCTCATTCTCAATGCACTCAATCTACCAACTCTTCAGAGGCTATTAACCACAGGTAATCTTTATTTCAAGGCATTTTGATTTTGTTCTATTTAACTAACTCTTTACAATGAGAATGTTTCATTTAATAAACTTGGCATTATAATTCTATACTAGTAATTGTATAACTTTCAACAAGAAATAGCCTAGGGGATTTCATTCTTTTACTTTGTTCTGAGACAAGGGATACTTGACCATGTAACGTATCATACTTGCTACATGAACAATTTGCCATACTGTCCTCAAATTTGTCTTTGGTGAATTTTAGCAAGTACTGTTTTTTCCCCAATATTAACCTTAATCAGGCTTCCTCAAAAAAGGGAAGTAAAACTGATTTATATAGAATTATAACTTTTTATTTATAGATACAAATCTATGGGACTAGATGTAACGGTCATAATGCCATGGTCTCTGCATTAAGCAGGTTATTTCAGCAGACAATTACACTGCATATTGCTGTAAATTGCTCCACACTGGAATGTCAGAGAAGAAACACTGGAACTAGTATCCTGCTGTAAGTTAATGTGAGGTTTCCTAATAAGCTGCAGATGGCAGCAAGCATTACATGTACCTAGTAAAATCCTCTCACTTCTCTAGGACCCATGCAGCTGATGACACTAGTGCTGCAGAAATCCTCAAAACTGTCCATGACATTGCCACAGGAGTTGGTAATCGCAGTTACTTTTTACTGCAGAAACAGCAACAGAGCAAATTTCAACCACGGTTTCTTTGTCCAGCATGCATAGACCTAAAACCAATGAACGGGTCAGCAATGAACTGAGACTAGAAATCAAAAAGCACAAATTGGACACTGTGCCTCAAAGGGGCAACAGAAAGAGTTAACAATGCAGAGGTAGTAGAGCAGACATAAGTAACACTGGGGCTGCAAACAACAGCATACAAACAGAGGATACAGAGCCGAAGGCCAAGAACCCCTTCATAAAATGCTGCAAGCACTTCCTCTGCTGACTGGAGAGAAATCTGCTCAAGTCATTCACTGATGCTTGGACTTCACTGACTGCAAACCAAAAATGGAGGGAGTGCTGGAAGGGAAAAGGGGAAGGGGAAATGGAGAGGAATCGGGAACATTTAACCACTGGATGTTTATGCTGGTGACTGCAGAACCTTCAAGTCTTGCTCAAGATATTTCTGGATTGGATGGTTCACACAGATATATTGTTGAATTTTTTATACTGTGCTTTCTGGAAGCAGTCAGGGAATTCCTTCTTCCCTCCAAGGTTTTTGTTTGTTTTTTTTTTTTTTTTACGTGCAAAAGCAGTGTTTGCAGGCAGGTAAATACTAAAATAATCAGTATTACTTGTGAGCTATACTTGTAACATTCAGATTGCATTAAGTTTATCTAAATTAGTGTTGGTACAGTCCTTGTCCTTCCACTTGCCTTCAGCTGTTCACTTCCACATCCTCTTTTGTGTTGCACTGGCACCCACCTAATCTCCTGAGGAGCTGGACTGAAAAGATAACCTGGCTGAAAACTAAGCCAACAAAAAAAAAAAAAACTGAACAGCATCTGACAGCTGTTCCCCAAAACCTGCTTCATGCTGGGGGTCAAACAAGTGCTATTGGTCCAAAGGAAGCAGCAGAAACACATGGCAAAGAAAGCGGGCAGTGCCTTGCAACACTCACGTAGATAGGCTCACACCAGAGTGGAACCATCCCCAATTCAGTATTGCTGAGAAAGGAGCTGACAATTGGGGGACAAGGTAGCTGCAAAGCTACTTCCTCACTTTTACCTCATCAGCATTGAAACCTGTCACTCAGGAGCAGCCAAAGAGATGTATCAAAGAGACTGGTACTACCTACTTTTGGCCACAAGTAAACATTACTCCCAAACAGGACAGTTACAGATGCTCTGTTCCTCCTCAAAGACCTTCCTAATGCCTCTTCCATAACTTTCACTGGTGGAAAACATGTTTTAAGCTACTAAAAGTCTTCATTACTTTAGCTTAAGTAACAGCTCTTACAGATGCTGTGTCATGGTGACATCTTTCCTACCTCACTGTTACTGCTATGCTTCTACCCTTGTGCTCTGCAAACTTAATAACTGCAGTTCCTATGCAAAAAGCAGAAAGTAAAAGTTAGCTCTCAAGTTGTTTTCACCTAATGCACTCAGTGTCAGGTCAACAGCCTTTTGAAAGCTTTCAGCTTGCCTTTTAAAATGAAAGAACCAGGTATTTTTTCAGTAAAACATTCTCTAATGCTAATTAAATTAAATTTTATATACATTCAGTTGTAAAAATACACTAACCTGTTCTTCCGAATCTTCCTGAAATCCATTCAATCCAGTATCTAAATTTAGGAGTAAACAAATATTTCAGTTGCACTTTCCACTTCTGAAAGTTTGCATCATCTCTAATAAAATGGCTTCACTTTCTGATTAGGGCTGAAGTTTCAAACATTAGGAATTACCACAGTCATGTTCCCTAAGGGGAACTGACAAAAAGGTTTCTAGTTAGGCTCTGTTAGTCACCAAACTATATTCCAGGGTTATTTTGTCACATTTCTTCACAGTGGTTTAGAGGCCTGTGTTTCCAAAAACTATCAGCAGATGAAATTGCTGCCCATTGCAAAGGATGAGACCTACCCCTGTCCTCTGTAATTACAATGCAATTAGACAATACAGCTAAAAAAATACAATAATTTACTGCATCTGAAAAAGGCTGGCCCCAACCCTGCTGCTCCCATCATCATGTTTTGACATTCATGTGACTCTCTGGGAATTTCTTAATCAGAAATAAAGTGAATGGTTTCCTATTGGGTTAGCAAAACTTAGTTCAAACAGGGAGATGGCAAAACAGATGGGGCAGTCCTGCACTGCTGGGGGCACACAGCAGAGCAGAGGAACAGAAGTACAACTGAAGCAACAGCAGGTGACTGGCAGATCTGGGGAATGACCAGTAGCATTTTTGTTTCTCCTCTCTTGTAGATGCTTTTGATTCTTGGATATGTTAGTAAGAAGCATATAGGAACACTCAATGACTGCTACATCCATGCTTACCTTACACATCCATATGACACTCGAGTATCATATGGTCTGTAACTTTTGTCAGGAAGTTCCACAGCAACAAAATAATTCCAAGATGGACATATACCACTGGCTTGGGAAAAAAAGTTATTTCTTCAATTAATCTTAACAGAATACTCACAGAAACATAGTTGTAGTCAAGACAACCAGGAAAACTAAACAACTGTTATAAAGGCCACATATAGTCAGATTCTAAACAATACTACATGGATACTCATCTTCAGCTTCTCAATTGATTTTGACACTGCTAGAGCAACTTTCAGTTTTGTACAAAATACAACATACCTGCAGAATTATTTTGCAGTTCCTCTACTGAAGCATGTAGTGAAAAATCAGGCTCAGAACTACTTTCAGTAAGTGCTAGACAACCCCTAGAATTAAAAATATACACGCATAATACAATAAATCTACAATAAAAAGTTCTTACTCAGAAATAATTATAATCTGCTCAGTTTAAGAAAATCTTTACAGTACTTTGAGTTTATTTATGCAGTTTTGTACTTACAGTTATTTGTGGAAACAACTACAGTTATTTTAGAGGCATGCTTCTCTTTACAAGGACATACAGTATCTAAGACTTCCAGATTTCCGAACTGGAGCTAGATACACTTGTACATACATTTTCTAAGTGAAAAAATGGCCCTTCCTAATTTTTATTACTTTTTTTTTCTCTATTTCTATTATAAACCCATCTTCTACTGAAATCTTTCCACAGCTTCTAAGAACAAAAGGTCCAATATTATTTATTACAAATTTTTGTCTAATGTTTTTCCCTGAGTAGTATACTGTCATTCCTGTTGCTTATGTCCTTATACCATTAAAGGTAATATCAACAATAAAAACAAATAGAAGTACAGTTTGACCCATACTGAACACATAATTATCTCTGACATAAATATAGATCTTTCACTAAGCAAACAAGAAAATCGCTTCACGATATAACACTGACAATAAAATAGCATACAAATTGAGGTATAACGGGATTGTTTAATCACAGTACACCTGACTGGAATTCCCGTGTGACGTATCATACTCACTGCTGACACTGGTCAGATGCGTATGCTTCTTGAGGTGTCTGAATGAAAAAAAAAAAAAACAAATTAGTAAACAGTGTACTTCATTATTTATTTTTTCAGTTTTATTACATGCTTATTTTCTTCCTCCTGTAATTGAGTTGGGAAACTGAATTTTTAGATCAGATCTTTACAGACATTACTAATAAGATACAAAAGCCAGTCCACTTAAATATTTTTATTTGTGCTATTTGTATTGAAAAATAAATCAAGAGTATGAATCACCCAGAAGGAAAACATACTTATGCAATTAAGATATGATTACTTTAAACTTCAGGTGTTTTATACATCAAAAGACCAAAACACAAATATTTTTATTTTGACTCTCTGTTTTAATCTTTTTATAACAAGTCCTTCTCCTCATTAAATAAGACAGGGTGCTGCTTCAGAGACACTGGAGTTTAGTATACAACTCTTGCTATCCCTGGAAAAGGCAGAGTTAAGAAACCAAGCCTGCACATCAGCAAGCTTGAAGTGGCACGGCTGCCACATGCAGACACAGAAAAGGGCATGTGGGTAAGGGGAAAGCTAATGTCAGAGCAGAAGCCAAATTTGAACTCTACTAAAAGCAGCTTGGATGTGCTTTTTGTGCCTTTGACTGTACATTAGGGAAAAATCTCCTCTAGTGTGGAAAAAGAAGCCTTTATGTAAAGTCTAAGGGAGCCTAGGAATAATTAAGATTGGCAAGTGAACTGCAGAATGATTATCTTCCAGAAACACTGAAGACTGGGGATTACCACTGGACTATCAGCACACTGGCTGCAATTTTAAACAAATCATTGACATATAGTGGAGAACATTCACAGAACTAGGAAAACTCTGGGAAAGAACATCTTGGTGTGGACACCAAGTGATGACTTATTTGGTTTGCACAAGGTATTAGCAACACAGTAAGAACCACTGTTTTAGCAATGACCTGCAGAGGTGAAGACTGCCCAGACCTGGTGAGGTGAAGATTGCCCAGTAGCAAGGACTGCTAAAAGGCTCCCTGGAATGGAACAGATTCTTTAGAAACAGTTTGGCCATCAATTATTGATTGACGTAGTTCCAAAATATGGCAATGGGATAGTTGGTAGAAAGTTATTGACTTTGATAAATACAGCCTCTGTATGAATCAGCCTGGTTATTTACACAGAACACTATCCAGAACCAAGCAAGGTCAGGAGCATAGCAGAACCACCACTAAACCTCTTCGACTGGCTAATGTTGCTCAGATAGACGCTTAAAGCTCAATGAACTACCATTATATCTCAGAAGATGGAAGAGTTGTTTTGTCTGCTAAAAAATTAGGTTCTAAGCAAAACCAGTGTACTGCTGATTGTTTGAGTGGTCTTCTCAAATCACAGAAGTTACACAGGTAGCATTTGTGGCCACAGACTGCAAGTACTGGGATCAGTCTTTTGTCCTGCTCTCTTGCTTTTGGTAAGGATATTCCTGCAAAACCCAACTGATTTTTCTCATTTGAGCACTTATTTAGACAGCCAACTATCTGAATAAACTCTGTTCCAAAAGAAGACTGATACTTAAAAACTAACAACTTTAGGTGCACTTCACCAAAGTGGGCAAGGAAAAAAAGCCAGAAAAAGGTGAAAGTACAAACTTACCATCACGAGGCCTGACTGAACAAGCCATGGAATAGGATGCTAATGGAAATGACTTGTTGGTTGGAAAAAAATGGAATCCTACAAAATCTATCTGTATATCTACTGCATCTCTGATGGAAGAGAAGTCTTTCTTACAATCTATTGCATAGTAGAATCAAAGATAGGACTGCATATTCCAAGCATCCCCCAACCCAAAGTACAAAAAAAGCCAAGACTCTTTCAAACAACTGGAATAGATGTTAAATTTCCTGAAAAAAATCACAGCCATTCCAGGCTGTATGACCCTTATATCACATTGCTGTATTCACATACGATCATTTCTGCGGACACAGTAGAGGAAAGCTTCTATTTAAATACATTCCAGGCTGGCTCTCGGAATGGTTGAAGAGTCACACTGGTGCAATCTACACATGCAAGTACCAAGGATGACAGGGCAATACTGTTCCTGACAGCATTCAGTAAAGATTTTGAACATCATACTGTCCCCATGCTGTGCATGAACAAGCTGCCAGTGGCATGCTATACAGAGCTCACAAAAAAAAAAAAAAAAAAAAAAAAAAAAAAAGTTACCCAAGCTATTTGGTGAAAAGTACTAGGTTTCTTTGCTCTTCTGACTTCTCCTTTTGTGGACAGGAGATTTGTCTTTATACTTGGAAGAATCCCTTGCTGGGATTGCAGACTGGCTACTCTGGTGAGTACCATGAGGCCAAAGACTTAGTTAGGCAGCACAGAGTCTGATCAGTTCCCAGAGCAGAAAGGGAGAGAGTAAACGTGCACTGCCCTCATTCCCTCTGTCCTTAGAAAACCATGGTAAACTTCAGTCGAGACAACCCTGGGACATGCAAGCAGTAAAACAAACTTACGGAGAAAAGGCTTTGAAATGACAGCATCTTTTCCATTTTGTTCACTTTTTCCCACACTGTCAGTGAAGACAAATTTATTTGCAATTCTATAATGCTCTGTAAAAACATTCACTTCAGTAGAAGGACTGTCTTTTTTCAATGCAGTTTTTGTCATGTAGGAAGCAGTTTAGTTCTTTTAAAAAGCCCTCTTACACTGGAAGAAGGATACACAGAGTGGTCTTTGGACTGGTGAATCCACAGTGCTGAGGGCAGTGTAACAGTCACAGGTTTTAAAACAATCTCTAGTTAAAGAGTAGAAACCTGTTTGTTTCTAATTGTTTCATGAGGATGTCATATGCGGGTGGAAGCCGACTGCTCAATTAAACAGAAGTTTATAGGCTAGCTACCAACTGTGGCAAATATATTAAAAGATAGGCTAATTATTAGATGAGGGAATGCAGAATTATCCGTAGAGTAGAATAATTACCCCACCATCACACGAGCAGATCTTTTACTCTGCATTTTAGATTATTATCTCTTTCTTTTTTAAAGAAACAATTGTCCAGTTGTTGGATCACAGGTAATCTCATGAGTAATCAAGGGTGCATTCTGGCATGGTTAACCCAGATGGTTATCTTTCAGCTCCTGAAGGGAACATATGAAAAAGTTTGTGCTCCATGACTTCTTCATCCCTGTCAGGGGCTTGCCCCTCATTTTAAAGGTTATATCCTCATGAAATAACAGCGAAGAGACTTTGATACATCCCTGAAGAGAATGTGCTACACACGCAACAACTGTCTTGCCATAAAATTCATTTCAGCTGCAAGCCACCTGGCTCTTTTGCATACAAAGTATGGGAGGCCCAGTGAGTTTATTAATAATTAAGTTAGATATGTGTAGCAGGAGATGTATCATTTCTATACCTACTGGATTTATTTGTTCTTCCTTCTGATTATATGTGTGATCAGAAAATTTCTGTATAAAACATATTTCTGGGGAGGCAGCTCCTAGGGGAAAAAAAAAAAAAGGCAAACAAAAGAAAAAGACAGTAATTAAAGGAAGTTTTGATTGACTTAATTTCTACATAACTTTCCATAACTCCATAAATTTCTACATAAATTTCTACATCACTCAATAATTGAGGTATACGTATCAAAGCTTCTGATATGCAAAGGACTTAAGTGGTAAAACAGTCGGTCTAAATTCTAAGTTCGTATTGGAGATTAACTCTTTCCTCTTATTTTTTAAATTAACAGCTGTAATTTTGGTGAGCTGCCTGACCTAAACATATTTGCACTCCTATATTGAATACTTTAGTGACTATGCAAAAGAAGAACTTCTCTCTGGAAAATAAAAGAGAGAAAGCCTTACGGTTGGATCCTTAGTTTTCAAACCTAAAATGTTGTTACTGACCCTATTAAAATACCCATCAGATTTATTTTTATGTTATGTATCTCATCAACAAATTGCTACTATACAAGTATACATAAATACCTGAATAACAAAATACTAATTCCAACTTGCTGAATATAAAATGCCACAGGCAAAATGCTAAAAGTATCATAATCTATTACATTTACAGAGACAAAAAAACCCCACCCAATGCTCAGAAAAATCCTCAGTCCGCAAACTGAACAATGAGTCAAATAAACATGCCTTAAACCACGTATGTTGAATACTGCCAGGTTTTAATTCCAGTGGATAACCACACGTAAGTTCAATACGGGATCATGCTTCCTTCCTCAGACAAAACTATACAGCAACTATGAAAAAGGTTCAGCATCAGCAAATCACAGCCATAGACAAAGCTTCTGGAGATTTCAGTGGGCTGTAGATAAGATTTATATTACCTTTGGGTAGGTTGATAAAAAATAATAGTCCACTCAGGCCTTCAAATTGGCAAAAAGACAAAGAAAAAAAGAACTGGAAGAACATTTAGAACACCTTGTGTCACTTAAAGAATAGGCAGTCTCTGTATTGCTGGAATAAAATGTACAGGATGCAAGTCAAATGGGTTATATAAAAAAGTCAAGGAGGTACCAGTAAAACTATTATGTAACTACACATGCTTGCTCATGCATCCTGCTCTAAGGGAGTTATCGGGAAAGATTTAAAGGCTATAAATGAGCATGCATGCATTTATATTTAAAGTAGTTTAATAATACACTTAAAATAATGCACTTAAAAATCCCTACCCAAATTCTGTATGTTAAAGAGAATGGACATTTCAACAATATTAAAGGGGTCAGGGGGGTGGGGGGGCAGGTGTTTAACACCATATGCAACCATGGTTACATATGACTATTATATGTATAGATTCCATTTATATGACTATTATGTGTTTAGATTCCATTAACTTTATTCTGCTCAAGCACAAGTAAACGGGCTATCCCTATATATAGTTCAACACTTCCCAAGGCAGGCATTCTCAGTTATAGTGCACAGGAAGAATGGAGAAATTAAGAGCAAACCTATTTTTCAGATGTTAAAAATGTGCTGCACTTTCTTCTAAAATACAAGCTAAAACTATGGATATAATAAGAGAGCACATGCAGTTCATAAGAACGAACTTCATGCAACACAAGTTTAAATAACATGGACTCAGGCAACATCCACAGCAACAGTTCACAGACAAAAACCAACACAGGCTGAAAAAAGAATCAGTCCTACCTTGATTAATTATTTCAGTGTTTAAAGTCATCTTCTCACTAAGAAAAGGCAACCTTTGCAAAATAGTAAAAAAGGTTGTTAAACAGTTGAATTCTCTGCTTTTCAGACCTATAAACTCAAATGGCAGTTAGAGCAGCAAAGGGCACCCATCTTAGCTGGACACTGCTAAACGCGCTCTGGTCAAGCACACCTCTAGTGCTAACATCAATAACCCCAAAACTTTGAGGATATACCTGATACTCTGCATAGAAAACCTTAGGTAGGGAGTTATACCACCATTTAATGTATTTCCAAGCAATACTGGGCCACAAAGCCAATACAATAGTGCTACTGCTTGGTCGTTTCAATTCTTTGCTGTGTCTTAAAGGATACAAGATAATGTCATGACAGTGGTATCAAGTTAAAGATGTGGAGAAATAACACCTGCATCCATCATATTTAATAGTGTTTATTTTCTCTTGAGTTGGGTTCTGGTATGTTTCAATTCCACCGACTATAATTCAGGAGGGTCCAGAGGCACAAACTCAGAGGCCCACAATGTGTGTGTAAAATAAATGGGGCACTTGCAGAGCTAAGAACTACTGGATCCAAGGGCATGCAAAACTGGTCCGAACCGAGGAAGAAAAAAAAAAAAAAAAAAAAAAGTTTTACTTTCCGGATATCAGATGCAGGACGCCAGAGAAAGCGGTTCCTCTGCGCGTCTGGCGTTTTCCACAGACGAAACGCCAGGACTGGGCCAGCCGGGGCGGCCGCCTCAGCCCGTCACCGCGGGCCCCGCGCCCCTCCCTGCGCCAGGCCTGCCGCCGCGCTCGCTCGAGTACGCGCAGCTCAGAGAGACGCCGCGTTACCATCTCCTCCAACAGAACTCCTCTTCCACATCGCTTTCCGTCACAGAGCCCTCCACCATGGTCACGCTGCTGTCACTGTCCTCACCGCCGACAGCCACCCCCATGGCGCCGCCGCCGCTCCGCGGCCCTGCCCCGGGCGCCGCCGGCGGCCGGCCGTCCCCGCGGCGCGCCGCGCGGCTCCCCTCAGCGGCGGCGGCGGCCATCTTGTGGAGGAGGGCTGAGCCCCGCGTCGCGCTGTTCCGCAGGGGGGGACCGGAGCGTAGTGGCCGGTGGTAGAAGCTAAAGGCAGATCTCGCTTTGTTACCCCTGTAAAGCTGTTTAAGTGCCTAGGTTATAGCGACACTCAAGTTAGATGTACTGCATTTAAGTCTTCTAACGAGGACCACTAAACACTGGCTCTATTGTGAAGCCTGAAACTTTGTATAAATGATGCAGGCCTTCCTAACGACATTGCCCTTGAAGAGGAGCCAAAAGATTGATAAAAAGGGAACGCAGGCTCAGAAAGTTGAGTCATCACCAAAGAAGCAGGAAGTCATCAAAAATCTATGGCAACTGGGGGAAAGATAAAGGCAGCAGGGGGAGATCATGACCACCAACTCAATTCAAGATGGAAAAGACTTGCCTCCCCACGCCTGTAAGGAGCATGCATGCTTATTTACGTAGCAAGTGGGGCTAATTTAAACGTAACTAACCAATGAGGGACAAAGCGATAAGCAATGGTCATTACAGTAAGTGTGTATTTGTGTAGACTGAGGGGTATAAATACACTGAAGTTCTGTGCAGTGTGCCAGCTTTGTGGAATTGCCACCTACCAGCCATTTTTGAGCAAACACGGAATAAATAAAATACCTCTGCTTTGTGTGTTTATTGGTGTATTGCACACCAAGTAAACGAACCCTATTTGAGGGACACCACCTTCAGTGTCACTGGGATGAGACTCCCTCAAGACGACTGGCCTTGGCCTGCTTGGGACGACCAGTGCCCACCCAGCACCCTCAAGCAGGAGTTTGTGCCTCCTTGCTAGCGTTGGGCTCCTGGCTCTGGGCCAGTCTTACACATCATTCGGCAGACCCACAAGACACTTAACACATTCAGACCGACTAGCTCTTCGTCTACAATTGATCCCTTTTCCTAATTTGTTTACTTTCATGGCCACATTTAAGCAGCTAACTTGATCTGCTGTCTTGGGCACAATGAATGGCTCATGTGTTCAAGAGCAGGAATGTGTTTGAGATAACCAAATCACCAGTTGCCAATATTTTCACGGTATTTGCAGTAGCACTCTTGTGCGTAACCTGTAAAACATCTGTTACTCGCAGCAATGTTTTCCTAAGGCAGTCCCATTCTGCTCTGCTTTCTGTCTCTGTAGTAGTGGGGACAGTGTTGCTCCGGTGGCCTCTGTCAGTGTGAAGCTGGGCTGTGGGCAGGCCACCATGGGAGCTACAGATACAAAAACTTGATGGCAGAAAGTGTGTTGTCATATACTCGCACAGGCTGCAAATTCCGCATCATCGTAGTGACTGCTGCCCCCAGCAAACTGGGTAAAATTAGCATTTTAAGTACTTGACAAATCATATTAAATACTCACTGCTGTGGATAAAGTGTGGAAAACAGAACAAGATACTAAGGGTCATCTTAAATTATATATCAATTATACATAATTGTTGCAGATGTGCATAAATTGCTTGACTTAGTCATATCCATATGCAATTATAGCAATTGCTGCACACATTATCAAATGACTCCAGAAATCTTACTGATAATGCTTTACTTTTTTCCAAGATACTCAGGAAAATGTGTGTTAAGGAAGAAGCTGGCAGGGACGATGGATACAATAAGTTACTGGGACTTAGGAGCATCACACTGAAGATGAGGACGAAAAATGTATTCACATGTTAAAAGACTGCGCTGGCATGAATGATTTTGACATTGACAACAACTACTTTGAAAAGGTTTCCTAAGGACTCCACCCATGGGCGTATCTCTTTTTGAGAATCACATTAATGCTTCATAGCACAGTACCGCGTGGAGCTACTAGAAATTTTTTTCTAAATGAAATGGCACATGTGAGAAACAGCATTGGAAAAGCCAAAGTGTAGAACATCCCCAGAAAAATCCTTGCAAATTACATTTTGTTTGTATTTAAACGTGTTAGGCCACAGGCTCAGACCCAGAAGGGCAAAACTGCAGCTATGTATCACAGCCAACAACAGTGTTGCACCTGACTCAGTGCCCGAAGAGAATAAGGAGCCTCCCATGCTTCGTGAGCAAAAAGTAGCATTTCCTCTTTAGTCGACAGCCACAAATACAAATACTTTGCGGGTTTTTTTTTCTGGACGTGAGGGCACCGCTGCTTTCCGCAATGACTACGTCTTAACGCCTCGGTGAAGCGCTTCCCGGCCGTGGGTCAACGTCGCCGTGAGCCGCGGAGGCACCACGACGAGATCACCCGGGGCCGCCCTGCCCGTTCACCGTGCCGGCAGGACCGGCGGGGGCCGGGGGCAGCGGCGGGGGCCGGGGGCAGCGGCGGGGGTGGCCCTAGGGGCGCGGCGCGGCCCGTCGGTCGATCAGCATATGCAAATGATCCGCGTCCTGCCGCCCAATCGGAAAGCACGGAGCGGGGAGCGCGCTGGCCCATTGGCGGGCAGCCCATGGCGAGATGGCGTGTTCCCCGCTCCTGATCGCGGCTCGAGCTGTGGCGGCGCTCGCCGGGCCGTTGCCGCGGCGACGCGGCGGGTGACGCGCGGCGGGCTGGGCGTGCCGAGCCCTCGCCATTGGCTGCGCGATCGGGCGATGGCGGCGGCCGGCGTGCCGTGCCCCAGGTGTCCTTGCTCGGAGAGGAGCGGCCGGCGCAGTCCGCAGCGCGGCGGGAAGCAGGCGGGTGTTTCCTGCGTGGCGGCGGGACAGCGCCGGGGTGGTGAGCGGGGTCCGGGAAGGGCCGGCAGGTCGTGTTTCGGGCAGGCGCGGCGCGGGCAGCCCGCCGTTGCGACACGGGGTCCTCCGTAGCCAGGGGACGGGCCGTCACGCCGGGCCCCGAGCGGCGCCTCGGGGATCGGCGCGGGGGGTGGGGGGCAGGGCACGGGGAGCGGCGCCCGGGGTGGGCAGAGCCGCTGTCCCGGTGCCGCCTTGACGCCGGGCCGCGGAAGGCTGGCCGCCGCACCGGGCCGGCCGCAGCGAGCTGCGCCCCCGGGGCGCGGGGTTCGGCCACCCGCGGGGCGGGACCCGGCTGTCCCTCCGGCGGGGCGGCCCAGCCTAACTCAGGCTGGAATGCTGGGCTCCCCCCCCCAGCCTGTCGCAGGGGGCTTGGGGGGGCCTGCGTGGGGGCGGCTGCCCTGTTTAAAAAGACGAGGCACCCGCGTGGGCGTTTGGCGGCGTCTGTGCGGCGTCCGTGCGTTTTTCAGGTGGGCTCTGCACCGGCTTTTCGCTCAGCTGGTTTTGCCACTCGGCGCCTTCGTTGCACTGCAGCTATCGCTGAGTCAGCCGGCAGGAGAGGGGAAATTTATGCTGATCGGGTGGGTAGATGGTGTTACAGATGGTCGCTCTGAGGTTAGCGAGGGCCGTGTGACAAACCTGAAGTATATAAGCATACCGTTACGCATCACATTAATGCTCTAAACCACTGCAGACAGACAGCCAACTTCACTTTTACACGCTGGTTAAGTTTTTGAAGGGGTTGCTGTTGGCTTTGCTTGTATTTTGTTTTGATTCCCGTAATTGATTGCTTTACTTAGTCTCCTGGAAATCTCGTGATTGAAAACAAAGGCAGGTAGGAAATGGGTAGGATTTATAAAGCATCCTTTTTGAATCACCATTTTGAAATTTAACAAAACTATATTAATGATCAACTTCAGCTTTATATTTAATGTTATCTCTTCCTCATTTCAAGCTCTGAGTCAATGTAGGTATATGAATCTTTTAAACGGAATTAGAAATATGAGCTGATCATGTGCATTGAAATGTGGTGGTTTTTACAGCACTTAGTAATGTAGAATCAGTGTATGAAATCTTCAGTATTTTCTAGAAGTGTCAGCTGCATAGCAGAAAACCCCGTGCACTTCAGGCAGGTTAAAGAAATAGTAAGGCTTTGAAGAATCCTTTTAGGTTAGGAGTTACTGCCACTTAGTTAAGCTCAAGACTAGCAGTGAAGCACCCTGTATTTCATAGCAGCAGTTAATTATGAAATATTATCTAATATTAGATATTATAGATAATTATTTTCATAATCAAATTAATGCATTTTCCCCTATTTGATTTATGTGAAGCCATTTTACACTTAAGAGTTTTGCTTAGAAATGTGAAAAATAATATCTCAAGAAAGATTTTGAAATCTTTATAGCTCTACTAGCAATTTGTTAATTGCCTAGATAATATATCCAACTGTCAGAATTTAGGAGTTGTATTACTAGTTTTAGGACTGGCAGGACTGTATTATACAGTCATGTAGTAAGTACTGATCCTGTTTTTCCTGAAACACTGCGGTATTCAAAAATATTTGTATTTTCATAGGACATTGCTGTGCCTTTTCTGTTCTTTACAAAGCTTCAAACTCTTTGGCAGTAAGGTATTCCTCCTGCTATGTCTTATTTTAATTTTCCTAATCAAAAGATACCTTTCATTCTGCTGAGGAAAAACTATAATACCACTTTGGAACAGTTTTGCAAGAACATAAATCTATAAAACAGTATATGGATTATATAAAAAACAAACAAACCCCAAAAAAACAAACAAACAAAAAAAAAAAAACAAAAAACAAACCACCCCAAAAATAAACAGCTTCCTGTCAGGAAATGAAGTAATTTTCCATAAGGAAGCCAGTCCTCTCAATGATTTTTTCCCCATTTGGTTCTATGAGCCACGAAAATCCTGCCACACCTTCACTGTGGAAGGATAAAGAAAAATACGTTGGTGCTGTTTGTGCTCAGATGATCAAGACTGGTATTGGTAGGAAACCAAGATGATTCTGGTATCTTCAGGAACGCTAAGCAGATGGGTTTGCCCTGTCGTTTTCTCCATTGAATGACAGCTTCATTTTTCATGTCAAAGCAAAATAAATAATACTGGAAAGATTGTCTTCTCAGAAGCCTGGTGGATGGATTGTTACCTTTAAGGCAACACGAAGGGATGTTTTTATCCACTTCGAAGTGACTATGTAGAGCCCACAGTCCCCTATTGGAAATTTTTACAGTGCTAGGTTTGTACATGTAAATACGGAACTATAGCTTGCCTATGTTAGCTAGGCTACTATTTAAGCATCTTCTGAACTTTACGATGTAGTTGTAAAGTTAATATTCATCACAGTTTTATAAGGTGTTGATATTGTGCAATGAGAAAAGCAAAGTCCCAGTACTAATGTGTTTACGAGGTAGTTTTGTAGCATTTTGTTTCTATG